CCCTCTCCAAAAACATAAGGTTGTTGTGAGACTCATGCATTGCATGGAAGACTCAGGCACCTCAATGTGCTTTGGGACAGTGAGCAACTTGCAAGGCGATTCATCTGGGCCTTTTTACATATGCTTGCCTCTGAATCACCGATATATGACTAAACACAAACCATGAAGAGCCGTAATTGCCGTTCCATGCACACTCCTATTCCTCTGAAAGATCATAAAGGAAGAAAAACCGGCAAAGAATTTAGGAGGACTAGTTCCTAACAACGACAGTGAAAATCTGCAGGGGGAAAAAAAACCAATCTTGCTGGATTCAGAGTGCAGATTTGACTGCTCAGTACCAGTCCTTCACAGCTGGGGAGCTGACAAAAATCTCTGAAAAGGATTGTGTGAACTCCTCCCATCTCCAGCAAGTTTTCTTCCTCTGCTTTACCACCTTGGTAAAGGTCCCTGAGGTCCAGGAGAAAAACTTGTTTGAACTTCCTCCTCTCAGACCTAGCTGTGGAGAAGCTGATCATGTCAGCCTCTTATCTCCACAGAGCACTCCCTGAGCTCTCAATTCACCTCACAGTGGGTCAGCCCTGGGCTTTGCCACGCAGAAATATTTTGCACGCTTTTAATTCGCCAGGCGGCCCGGGAGGGAACGGAGAGCCACAAATAAGGGGGCTGCACCAAGGGTTTTGTGTTTGTTTTGTATTTGAAGTATTGGAAAGATCTCCATGTCTAAATGGTTCAGGAAAAAGAAGGAATAAGTGGCCTGATCCCGCCCTGTTTTATTGCCAAGGTACTGAGATGTGTGGGACATCCAAAGGCCCTGTGACAGCAGCGGGGACTGTCCCCAACCCCAGGATTTAATTACCAAGGCCTTCCTCATTAGGTGGTCTCTTAGCTAAAGAAAAGCCTCACACCCACCTTTGCTGCAATTGCTAAGCAGAAATGCCAGAGCCAGAAGTACCAGTGGGTGTTTTTTTTTCTGCTATGTAGGTTCTGAGACTGGGGATGGAAAGATGCACCAGCCTCCAAAAGCCATCAGAGCTCTGTCACAGCTGCAGCTGGCTTGATCAACATGTATTCAGGCATCTTCTATGGAAATGTTGATTAGTGGTTGCCATGCAAAGAACTCCCAGCTCATCTTCTCTGAAAACCCCTTAGTTAAGTGTTAATGGCACTTCACAAATCTGCACAGGTTTGGTTTTTTTTTTTTTTTTTTTAAAGAGCCAAGAAGAAGGTAAATAAGGAGGGGAGATATAACACATTCCAGACAGCACCTTCTCCCTCCATTCTCAATTCACCCAGAAAATTTTCAGTAATAATTTTTGGTGGGTTTTTTTCCCCCCTTTCCTTCCACACCCCCCGTCCCCATTTACTCTCCAAGTAAAAGATCCTAAGAGATGGCCAGCTGAATGGAAACAGGAGGAGCTCAGGATTCAAAATGTCACGTCCTAGCAAATGTACCTTCTTTCCATACATTTTCCTTAAAAAAAAAAAAAAAACCCAAACAAAAAAACACGAAACAAAACCAAACAAACCAACCACAAACACAGCATAAAAAAAGGACAAATATTTGGAACATTAAGAAAACGATCACGCACACTGCAAAATTTTCCACACGTGCCTTTTGGAAAGAAAACAAATATGAGCTGGAACGAAACCTCTCTCACAAATATTTCTGATTTTGAGGAAGTATTAAAGCATTAAATAATAAAATCACCAGGACTTGGTGTTTTGTAGGTAAATGGGTGCAGTATGGCAAACAGGCTGGAGGACACAAGAAATGTGGGAGGATCTTAAAATTTCTCATCTCTTTCTTCTCTTTTGTTTACTTTGCCCCCAGTATTTTCCTGACTAGAGGAGTCTTGTCCATCTTTTGCTAGCCTAGAAAACTCAGCCTCCTCCAGCTTCCACTTGCAAAGCAATTTCCATTCACCTGATTGTTCTTGCTTTTCTTCTGTGCATCCTCCCTGGCCAAATTTAGGTCACCAACCATTCACACAGCATTCCAGAGGAGGCCTTACAAAATTAATACTTCCCAGGTGATACTGAACATGCTTATTGAGACTTTCAAAGACTACACCTGCAATTTTTATGGCTGCATCACTCTGGTGGCTCAGTGAGTGACACAGGCACCCTGGCTGATTTAAGCATCCCAAATCTTTCTCTCTGTCTGTCTCCCACCAAAATCCCTATGACATTAATTTCTGTGCTATTAAATACCTTTCCATTTCTTTAAAGTCAGCTATTCAGTCATGTAGTTCTGTGTCCTAATCCACAATGTTGAAGATGTCACTTGGGTTACTTCACTGCTAAATTTTGTAGTCTCCCAAGGACAGGGAGCTGTGGGAGAGAGTCCAGAGGAGACACCAAGATGATCAGAGGATGGAGCAGCTCTGCTGGGAGGAAAGGCTGAGAGAGCTGGGATTGTTCAGCTGGAGAAGGGAAGCTTTGGGGGGACCTCACTGTGGCCTTCCAGGACCTGAAGGGAGCCCACAAGGAAGATGGAGAGAGACTATTTCCAAGGGCCTGGAGCGACAGGACATGGGGAATGGCTTCAAACTGACAGAGAGCAGGTTTAGGTTGGATATCAGGGAGAAATTGTTTCCTGGGAGGGTGGTGGGGCCCTGGCACAGGTTGCCCAGAGAAGCTGTGGCTGCCCCATCCCTGGCAGTGTCCCAGGCCAGGTTGGATGGGGCTCTGAGCAACCTGGAATAGTGGAATATGTCCCTGGCCACAGAACTAGATGATCTTTAAGATCCCTTCCATCCCTAATCATTCTGTGGATATAAACCTCTATTTCTTCTATTCACCCTGACCTGTCCCATCTCACGTGGCATTTTTCTGTACAGCATATGCAAAGATCCAAAGAGTCAAGAGTAGGAAAGATACAGCCCACTCTGTTTAAACTCAGTATTCCCTCAAAACAGAGATTCCGAAACCAGCAGATACACAGCCAACCTACCATGACCACAGCAATTTTCATGTCAGCCCTAACAGCAAAAACCTGTAGGAGGGGCAGAGTTTGTATCCACGTCTACCTCTGCCACCTTTCTGCTGTTGTATTACTTAGGACTTGCAATCACATTTCTGCAGCTCAAAACTCTCTGTATCCACGCAGAAAACACCCGAGCAAGAGGAAGGGATGGGAGAGCAGTCAAGAATTCAGGGCCAACCCTCTGCATGAGGAACCTGCAGACCACACGAGCCCCTGATCACCAGCCTGGATTCTGCTCCAGCCCTGGCAATGTGAGTGTGATGTCAAGGACACAAAAGAGCTGAGCGTGGCACAGCACTCGCCTGCACCTTCTGGTGTGACAATGGCACACCTTCCTGAGAGCTCCAGAGCACACAAAAGGACCGTGGTCCAATTCTGCTTTCAACAGGGATAAATTTGGAGTCACTTCACTGACGTCAGTGGAGTTATTCCAGAATTGCTCCCATGTAAAAGAGGGCAGCATCTGCTTTCTGAAAATGGATGCCATCAAGCTAATTGAAAACAACAGATGCATCAAGGAACAGCAAGAAGAGAGGGTAATGCTCCAGTTTTCTTGTAAAATACCATTTAATTTCCCTCTAAAGAATGTAAGAGTATACACCAATATGTACTGGAGCATACACCACTATGTACTCTGAAAGATAAACCTTCTGTTGGTGTAAAATTGTATAAAAGCTCTCAGGTGAATGGAATGTGTATCTGCAACACCTGAAGAGATTTCGTCTCATCATCTGCATTTACAACCCTCTCCTTTGGGCCTGATTCTTCTCTCACACTTAAATTAGGAATAGTACCCCTCCTATTTTTAAGGAAGTATTTATCCGACCTTGGGTAGAGAGCAGAATTCAGGCCTCTTTTTTCTTCAAACAAACAACAGCTGAATTCGGTAATTTAATGGGTACATTTGTGATTTACAGCATTTTTTTGACTAAGGATCTTTCAGAACTTTATACCACTGAATAAATACCTTAGTGAAAATAAAGCCAAAGAGGGACTTACTGAATCTTCAGGGATATTCTGTGTGAAGACAAAAGTTTCCCACAAATCTTTTCTCTAATGAATAGTCAACAGAGCTTCAGTATTTAGGGTGACCATGGGAGTTGATGAGCACTTTCCCTCCTGTAAATCCTGTTTTTTCCTTTCACTAAGGAGTACCTCTACATTGCTTCAGCCCCTCTTATTAATTTGCACTACAGACAACATGGATATTCCCAGTGGTGAGGGTTTATCAGAGAATGTTCATGCTTCAGCAATGTAAAACCCACTCTAATCACAGCCACGTGTTTCCCCCAGTGTAAAACCATGCTATGATATGCAGGCTCCTGCATCAGCCAACAAGCCCCAGAGAGACTTCCCTGGATCAAAGAAAAACCCAAGGAAAGCACGTGGAATTAACAGGTACTAACAGCACAAGCTACACTGGAAAACAATTAGTGCAGTCTCTGTCTGCTTTCCCAAAAAAAACAAACACCACTTTCCTGGATTTATCTCCCTGGCTAGGCTCGTGTGTTTTTCAGGACCTGACCCTCCAAAAAGAAGAGCTCCTTCTTGAAGCTGGCAGGCAATTTCCTCCCCAACTGTCTTTGGTGGCAGCTCAGGACACTCAGCATTCACGGGCTCCTTTCATCAGGGGATTAAGCCTTTTCATCCTGCAAACACCTGCTCCCCTCCTTCTGTGTGAAGCAGGTGACTGCAATTCAGGCATTAGACTGTGAACCTGCTGATAACAGGGCTACAAATGTCTTCAGAACGGGATCTGTCTCTGGTGCAACTTCAAAGAGCAAGATGAAGAGCTCAAAAGGCTGTGCTTTCATTTACAGCAACGTAAACAGAGCTATCTTGTGCTTACAGGGCTGCCACAGAGGGCAGGATCTTCTTTGGTCTTAAACCTCCCCGTGGATTTCTCCACGTCCTGCCACCATTAAGAAATAAACAGACAAAATGCTGCTGCTCTCGTTTCTGTCAATATAAACTTTAAAGAGAAGCTTCACTTCGCTGGGCTCTACAGACTTACTTGGACTCAAGTCAGAGGAGCACTTTTGGGAAAGCTGTGGTTCAACTCCTGCTGTAATCCACAGATCCTCCCCTGGCATAAACAGGACCTCAAGAAAAAACAAACAAACAAAAATAAGCAGTTTAACAAACAGTACATAAGCACTGAGTTAATGCAGCAGATTGAAGTGGGATATAATCCAAGGTAGTTGTACTAAAAGGAGTTTTGCCAGCTTGAATCAAGCAGATGGTGAGGATCTGGCTCATACTATATTTTTGTAGTTTATAATTATCTTTCTTTCTTTCTTCACCTAGAACCAGATCCTCCCTTTAGGCTGCAAATCTTAATTATGAAACCCTTCCTCATTAGTTTCAAGAAATTCTTAGTCATTAATTTCACAGAACAAAAAGAAGCCTTACCTATTTCAGCTACAGCAGCAGATGCTGGAGCTGTTTATTCCTTTACTTTCAGGGTTGATGCTGTTCTTTCCATCACTCTACAGAAGACACTTCAGTCCTTACCCTCTCTCTTACTGCCCTGAATTCCCTTTATGCTCACTCTTCTTTATCTCCACAGGGATCCCTGTTCGCTGAACGAGAGGGCCGAGGAGAGAACACCCAGTCCAGCCACCTTCACCCCCAGGGCTGCTGGAGCAGGGAATTTTTATCCATGAAAGGGCCAAACAGAAAAATTGCTCCGAAATCCCGAATTCCAACATTTTCCAGACAGGAGCAGAATAGGAATGTCATCTTGGAGGGAAGTGCAAGAATCCACCGGTAATGCAGACCTTGAAATATCACAAAACAGGTCCTCATGCCTTTCACACTTACAGTTCTTAGGTGGAAAAAAAACCTGTAGTCCTCAGTAGAATTCTTTTCCTTCCTTCCTCACCTCCAAGGAGATGATTTCTGCCCTGCCCTGATTCGGTGCAAAACATCCCATGGGAAAATTCTCTGGGGAACTCATTGTCACAAACCAGCCAAGGGACCAGGAAGGAACAACAGTCTTTTCCACTGCAAAACTATTTCCTAAGTGAGACTGCTGAAAGACGAGTTTCTGATTTTTTTCACGTGATGTTTTAGCTTGCATTCACTGGGCACCCAGATAACTCTACAACCACGGGCCAGCTGTCCCTCAGCTCCTTGGCTGAGTGCTCAGATTGTCCCTTCACACACTCTCCACCCCTTTGTGTACGAATAAAATCTCTTCCCATCCCCAGGTTTGCACTCCCTTCTTTCCAAGGCTGGCAACCGTCCTGAAGTTGGACAGGACAAGCTGTACACGATAAAAGGCGATGGGATCATCTTCAGGAAGTGAGGAAAACGTCTGTGAGAATGAGCTGCTAATATCTGAAAACAAAATATCCAACGAGTGCTTTTGCTTGTAGCCACAGCCACGGCGTAGAGAGAAACAGTCCGGGAGGTTGTTATGGAAACAACTCCCTGGAGGTGCCTCCTTGGCTTCACAAGGATGTGCTCTACCTTCAGAAGGAAACAGCTGCAGAAAGAACCTCACAGATTTGCATTTTGAACGTTCAGGGGTGAGTGGTGCAGGCTGAGAACTTGAGGGAAAATTCTTGAAAGCATCTCTGTGATCTGGTGACAACGAGACCTCTGTAAAGTCGATGGCACAGGTGCCACTATGTCACTCCAGTCACAAAAAAAAACAAACCACAAAACCTTAATAAAAATGTCAAATTCCACAAGCTCAATAATATATGGTATTATTGATGACTCTGGGACTTCACTGCAGTTCAGGAGGTGCTTACAGAAGGATTTATATGCCCAAATGACTCCCAAGGTTACAATTCCCACGCTTCTGTTGCCTTTTGGCATTTCTCAATAGCTCTAACACAGAAAACCCAGGGAACAAACGCCACTCCTGCTTTGCACATTTTCCCACGAGCTTTCCTGGGAGAAATTAAAATCTGTGGATCACAAAATCTGCACAGAGCTGCCTGTTCACAACACAATTCCTTCGCACCTTGGGTATGCAACGCCCCGTGTCCGTACGGAGACTTTTAAAACCCACTAGAAACTCACTGCTGAATTTCTCCAGAGACTTCATGCCCAGATGCCTGTCATGTTGGTCAGGAGAACAACCTGTTCTGAGCAGGGAGGGCTCCTGCCTGCCAGGGGTAACGAGGGAAGAAAGGAGCACGGGGATTTTCTGAGGCAGGCTCAGCGTGCGTCTCATGACTCCTCCTGAACTTATGTTTTAACCTGAGTTTTTTATATCTTGCTTTGGGGAAACTTCTATCAGCTGATAGACTCAGGCATTAAAATATCCCCAAACATGGGCATTCTGCTAGGACAGAGCAGCAGCCTTGGAACATCCCTCTTGAACAGCTGGTTTCCAGCAACGGGAAATTTCCAGCAACGTTGCTGGTTTCCAGCAATGGGAAATTTGAAGGGATGTCCCTCTCTTGCCCTCACAGTAAAGATTTTATTGTAGTGACCCTGAAACACAACTAAGGACAACACCATCTTTTTACTGAATAAACTCAATGACCTAGACTTAGGTTCTTTTAGACAAAAATCAACAGAGATGCCACGGTGCTGATCCTTCCTCAGTCCCACTCATTCCCAGGACAACTTACCCACCAGCTGGTTACACTCTCCAAGGGATGCAGAACAGCTCCCAAGGCCCAGAGCTCCACAATCCTCTGCCTCAATCCCAAGAAAGCAAAGAGAAATTCTACATTATTCAGGCACACTCCTCTGAGCTATGAGCCCTCACCACATCAGACTGGCACAAGTGGCATTTTTGTCCTGATTTCAGCGAGAGAGAGAACGGAGATTTTAACATAATGGTTGTGTGCTGACCCCACGGGAGATCCCAGCACGCTAAAAACCTTGGAGAGGACAACAGGGCTCTGGAGAAATGGAGCAGGGTCAGGATTTGCACAAACAACTTCAACCATATGACCAGGGCCCAGATGAGGGGAGGCCACAATAAAAGCACTCCAGGCATGGAGCCATATCTCAAGATGACTGAAAACAGGCAGGGTAATGAAGATGCAAACAGAGCCCATCTCACAGCCAGTTCTGACTATATTAAAGTATATGGATGGAGCTCTGAGCAACCTGATCTAGTGGCAGGTGTCCCTGTCCAGGCAGAGGGGTTGGAACCAGATGAGCTTTTAGGTCCCTCCCAACCCAGGCCATTCTATGATATGCCTTTAGAATTCTTAGTTTCATGGCTGAAAAGCATTATATATATACATAAAATGCATTCTGTGTATTTTGCACCTTGAGATTATGTCTGGTTTATGTATTCCATGCAGTATGTAGTACATTCTAATATGCATACCATACAGGATGATGCAAGGCATTCATGGCTGCCTCTGCTTTCATACACATGCAGACACGAGAATACAAAACATACACTTAGAGTTAAAACAAGAAAGGCTTTTCCTCACAGAAAAAGTTGCCAGTAGAATCTGAAAGCATCCATTCCCCCTTTTCACCTGCTGGCAGCAGTTGAAACACTTCAAAGTTAGGTGTAAGGCAGAGCTGACTGAAGACTAATTGAATAAATGATCTGGGAAGCAAAATGTGCCTCTTAAGACAGAAATCTCTTGTCCCTTGGCAAACCCAGCACTGCAGGCCAAGCTACGCATGTCTTGCATTGCTGGCATACGCTGCTCTCCTAAATCCCAGTGCAAAAAACACTGCTGTCCCTTCCATCCACAAAACACCGAGCTCGGGCTGGATCAGTCCTACAGCAAAAGCGTCCCTTCCAGGCTGGCTGCTTCTCCCCTCACTTGAAACCCCTGCGTTTGTGCAGATAGCTCAGGGAAGTTTGTAACCTCAGCCTCAAATGTTAACGCACTTACCCTGGGGTAATTTATGCCCGTGTGAGTCGTTAGACCAGCGAGATCCTCCCCCAGCACAGGTGCAGCTTCCCCGTGCTGGGAATTTTTCAGCAAATTTTTCAACAAAATAACACCACCACGCAAGCTTCCCTCAGCTATACCACTGCTCAATGAAAAAAATAAATAAAAAAAAAACCAGTGGAGTCAACTGCTCTGACATGCCCGAACGCAGAGCTGGGTATCTGAGGCATAAAGCACCTCTCATTAAACACCACTGCGTGGAGATAAAAAATGAATTTACTCGAACGCGCCTCGCATCGGAAGGCACTTACCACTGTGAAGATTAGGTTGGTACTATAAAAGCCAATTAACATCAGGGGCACCGGCATAAATAAGGCTGAGATAAGCTCAAAACACAAGAGAATCTTCCCCAAGCCTGTTGATTGCTACAAGCCTGTTTTTGATACGTGGTATATATGGTCACAAGCAGTGAAAAAGCCTTCAGATCTATGCACTTTTTTTTTTTTTTGATACACAAACCAAAAAGGGGATGATCTCTATCATGCCAAGGGTTGCAAAGAAGGCAGGCATCTGCTTGCTGACTGTCCCCTACAGCTGCAGAGCTCCTGGCTGCAGCGTTTCCATTATTCAGAGGCGATGGCAGGGCAGGCGTGACCGATCCCAGAGCCAAGGGCACCGCCGGCACGGGAACCAAGGGCACGGCTGCCCTGCCAGATGTTTGCGGCCCCTTTAACTGTTCACTCCGCTGGATCCTTCAGCTGAAGGAGTGGCAAGGGCTTCTCTGCCGGTGGAGGAACAGGCTCGGTCTCAGGGCAAACGCTGGGTTAAAGGCAGTCTTCAAAAACAGAGAGGAAAATTCACAGGGGCGTGGGGATGACAGCTAGCACTCCACGGAATAAAGCGAGGACGATTCTGGCTGCACACAGTAATGAGAAATGGCAAATCAGGACAGAAGAGCCCATTATCACAATCATTCTGTTTACGGTATCACAATTCACAGTCTGGCATGTAAATGCTGAACAGATCCAGCTGCTTGTGGCCAGGCTGCTGTGCAGCAGCTCGCAGCTCCGTGTCTGGACCCAGGAAAACGGAACTGGTCACACCTCTGTCAGCATCTTCTTCTCTTTAAAACCCTGGTTATTGGGAGGAATGAAGTTGGAGTATTTCATGGACTCCAGGTCTTCTGCCTCCAGAAATTCGGATTTGCTGAGAGACTGATTACTGTCCCCCTTCTTAGGCTCAAAGAAGGGTGACTGTTGCTGGCCACAGGTGACGTGGGTGTACTGGCACTGCTCCTCGTGATCGGTCTCCCGGTGGTAGAAGTAGTTGAAGTTGGACACGATGACAGGGACGGGGAGGGCGATGGTGAGCACACCTGCAATGGCACACAAGGAGCCCACAATCTTGCCACCAATGGTCATGGGATACATGTCCCCGTAGCCCACGGTGGTCATGGACACCACTGCCCACCAGAAAGCATCAGGGATGCTGGTGAACAGAGAGTCAGGGTCATCAGTCTCTGCAAAGTAGACGGCGCTGGAGAAGAGGATCACCCCGATGAAGAGGAAGAAGATGAGGAGGCCCAGCTCCCTCATGCTGGCCTGAAGAGTCTTCCCTAAGATCTGCAGCCCCTTGGAGTGCCTGGAGAGCTTGAAGATCCTGAAGACTCTGACCAGGCGGATGACTCTGAGGATGGCCAGGGACATGGCTTGCTGCTGGCCCCCGTTGTTGCTGCTGCCCCCGGACTGTTGCTTCTGCTGCTGCTGCTGGGCCAGCTCGGTGCCCAGGGTGATGAAGTAGGGGATGATGGCCACGATGTCGATGATGTTCATGATGTTGCGGGAGAACTCGGGCTTGCTGGGGCAGGCGAAGAAGCGCACGAGGAGCTCAAAGGAGAACCAGATGATGCACAGGGTCTCGATGAGGAAGAAGGG